CCGGCGGCTGCTTCCGGCCCCGCCCTTCCCGGCCGGGGGCCCGAAGCGAGCTCGCCCCGGTGCCCGAGGCCGCAGCTCGCCCCCGGCCCCTTCCCGGGGCCTGCTCCTGGGCGGGTCGCGGGTGGGCCAGAGCTGCACTGGGCCCTTCCGTTACTCGACGCAGCAAACTGCTGCGGCCGCTGTAAGCCCGGGTCCCGGGGGAGGCGCGTGCCTTGCTGGCGGGAAGTCTGGTGGGCCCTTTCCTCAGCAGATGCCATGGCCTTATTTCCAGCTTGTCACAGGGAGCTGTTTGCCCGTTACAGATGGGCAGAACCAGTTCTGTGCTGGGTTTGAAAGAAATGAGATTTAGGCTTCTCTTTCCTCATGATTCTTACTGGGAGTCGGACATTGCATCTCTTTTGCTGACTTGAAAACCCCAGCTTTAAGTAAGTCCTTCAAGCTGTGTGACTGGATGATGGATGTCAGTACCTGATGGTAGGATCATAAGAAAGCGGGGCTGGAAGAGACTCCATGAGAGCACCTAGTCTAGCCCTCCCCTCAGGGCAGGATCATCCCAGACAAGTGTCTGTCAGACCTGCTAGTGAAGACTTCCAGGGATGAAGATTGCACAACTTCTCTTGGGCTTGACCCCCTGCATTGTCAGAAACTTCCTTCCCATCTCCACCCTAGACTCCCTGCTGTAGCCTAAGTCTATGGCTCCTTGTTCTGGTGCCTGTAGCCAGAGAGATGAGTCTCTCTCCATCCTCTCTCAGTTTGTCTTTCAGGTATTTGATGATTGTTATCCAATTCTTTCTCGGTCTTCTCTCCAGACTGAATAAGCCTGATTCTTTCAGCTTTTCCTTTTAAGCCTTGCTTCCCGGGTAAAGGGGCAGTGGTTCTGATGTTGCAGGGCCAGTGAGGTCTGGCAACAAATTTTTCTCTTGTGCACATACTTGCTTTTTATTGGTATATCCAGGCAGGCTCTGAGAGCGCTTCTGGGCAACATGCTTAATGCAAGGAGAGGTCTCCTCTTCTGAGGGTTCTCCACTCACATCTGGTTTCTGGATGGACTGAATGATGCCTGCGGGTGGAATTGTGGCAGTTTGGTATCAATGAAGGCTTGGTATGCAGTTATTTCAGTGCCTTGTTTGGGGAAACATTGGGGTAATCTCAAATGAGTCCTTCAAAACATCTAGGAATTTTGAGATTCTTGCATTTGGGAGAGAGCCTGCAAAGAGCTCGTGAGGGAAAGCCTCAAACTTGGTCTGGTATGAACCAGAGGTTGTCTCTAAGAATAGAGGCTCTGGAATGGGCTCCCAAGGGAGGTGGGTGCTCTCTCCTACCTTGGGAGTCTTCAAGAGGAGGCTGGACAGATATTTGGCTGGGCTGATATGACTGTGGCACCCATTCCTGCCCAGGGCAGAGGGTCAGACCTCTGTTTAGGTCCCTTCTGATCCCAAGAACTATGAAATAGAGTTTAGCCTCTTGATTCATTCAGGGTGAAATACAGGTGGTCTTTGACTTGCAATGTTTCAAGTTACAATGTTTTGCACTTGCAACATTAATAAATTGACACCCCTTTTCAACTTTATGGTGTCAGTTTCAACTTTACAGCGCTTGATCCGATTCCATGCCGTGCCAGCGAACAAGTTTGCTCTCATTCTCCAACATCTGTCCAAATTTCCTTGGACGCTTTCTTTCAGAAAGCAGACAAGAGTCCAGAAAAACCTGCACCTAAGACTCCTGAGAAGACTCCAGCCAAAAACCCTTCAAAAGGTCCAACCAAGAGCCTTTCAAAAAGTCTGGCAAAGTCGCCTCAAAGAAGTCCTTCCAAATCAATATGATTTCTGTTTACAATATAAATACGTTAATGTAGCTATATTACTCATCTATAATTACTCAAGTACAACGTTCTAGGGTATTTTTGGTGAAAATAGGGTATTGGGCCTTGGTTCAGGAACCAATCCCCCATCTATAACATTGTTTCTTCTGAGAAAATTGGTTCTGAGTTGCAACGTTTTGACTTAAGGCATGATTTTCAGGAATTAATTGTTGCAAGTCTGAGGATTGCCTGTATGGGTAATATAAGCATCTGGTCCCAAAGGGTTCTGGGTTAAAGCTAGGCATGAGGAAATTCCCCCGGCATAGAATCAAAGAAAAGTAAGGCTGAAAGGGACTTCCTGAGGTCCTAAACCTACCCACTAAATCAGTGGTTCTCAACCTTTTTAGATTCAAGGAACCTTTCATTCAGCTCAAGACACCTCTTAGAAAATGCCAGCTCTTTTTTCCCCTCATTTTTTGACTACAGAAAAATACTTGAGCAATTCTGTTGCAAAGAACTGAAAGACCACAACAGGACAGAATATTTTTAACACCATATATTCCTCTTTGAAATCTCTGGTTTTATCTTGTGAATCATGTTTGCACACCTAAACCATCTGATTCAAGTGTCTGTCTAGCCTGCGCTTGAAAATCTCCAAGGATGGAGATTCCAGAGCTTCGCTAGGTAACCTGTTTCAGTGCTTGACCATGCTTATAGGGAAGGTAAGGTTGGATATCCAGAAGAAATATCTCCTGCTGGAATTTGAAACCATTGCTTCTAGTACTGTGCCCTGTGGCCACACACAGAATAATTTTATCTCTATCCTCTTTATGACCACCCTTCAGGTATTTGAAGGCTGTTATCAAATTCCTTCTCAGTGTTCTCTTCTCCAGGTTAATTAAGCCTGGTTATTTCAGCCTTCTTAATTCTTGCTTCCCAGGTAAAGGGGGCAGTGGTCCTGATGTTGCAAGGTAAGTGAAGTCTGGCAACAAAATGGATTTTTCCTAGTTATCACTTCAGCTGTATTTAAACTAGGTCCTAAAATGCCAGTGGAGAAATGAAAGGAACCCAACCTTTGCTGCGTAGTACTATGTCACAAAAATATATAAAAACTTCATAAGCAATAATTAAAAATGAGTATTCAATCTTTCCAGTTGAAGTAGGTGGTTTTTAAAATTGTGAACAATAGTTAGGAATGATGGCAGAAGTAAGAACAAGACTGCATTCTGCGAAGTGGAAGTCTCCACTTCCATGTTGAGTGGTAGCAGTGAGCTTAATGCTTCCAGGATCTATTTAAGGATCTTCATGTAGTTTTATGCCCTCTTTTTTTTTTTTTTAAATTTAATTCTTAATTGGCAATTATTTGACTGCTGTTTAAGAGCATCCTTTTGTATATCAGTGAAGTGCTTGCTAAAGGTCCAGAGTCAACTAGGTAATGGTGAATTATAGTCCTCCAAGAACAGCAAGGCAGTTCAGGGTTCTTTCTTCACTGCCTTGCCAGTGTGCAGTCAACATCACTTTTATCATCAGATGATAACTTTGCTACCATCCCAGAATCTCAGCTGGCAGTCTGTTTCAGGGGCTTTATCAGTTTACCAGAGCATGTCATTTTACCAGTGTCCTGCAAAGCTTGAGCTCTCTGCTATAGAAGGGCAGTTCCTGTACACTGCATGTAGTTATTCTGTCCCAATTGCAAACTTTGTTCTTCTAGAACTAAGGTGTCATTTAAAATTGGCTGAACTTGTGGCATACAATGTTACCTCTTTATTTCTTGACATTAGAGCACAGCTAGGTATTTCATTTGTTCTAGCCCCTCTGTCTGATCTTATTCTGAGGCTGTTCTCCAGAAGTGGTAGGAAAACCCAATACTCACTGTTTTTATGTAACTTTAAAAAAAATTCCTACTAACATGCCAGACACCAAGATAGGCTTTAGCATCTAAAACTGGAAAGACTGTATGCTCGTAATAAACAGAAATAAATCCTGAGCAGAGTTCTGGGTTGTACTTGTTTTGTAGAGAGAGATCCAGTCTGAGGGCGGATAATCAGTTGGATATCTTCCCTTGCCTGAAAGGATCTGTAGGATCCTTTAAGTGTTTTTCCTGTATTTTAAACTGGTATTCTTCTGGAAGGACCTTGATGTCTTGTAGCCTGCTCCCTTGTCTTGGGGTAGGATCAAATATACCTGGAATATCCCTGGCCTAAATAAGGTTCACCTTGTCTTAAATTCTGTGACAAAGATCCCTCAACTTGTGTCTTTACAGTTAAGTCATGAACAGGGATCTAGGTTTTCTGTTTAGAAAATCACAAATTCTCTGATTAAAAATCCACAAGTTTTCTGATGAAAAGCCCCCAAATCCATGATTAAAATAAAATGCCACTTCAGTTGAACATAATGTTTCATTGATATATTTACAATTTTTAAGTAGTTTGGAAGCCTACTAGTGCCTCAATCACTTTTATAGGCATTTAGAATTTATTTTTATTAATGTTGATGTTTGAGTTTTGGGTTTTTTAGCTTGGAAAATCAGCTCTTCCTGCCCCCCTTCACTCACCAAGAGACCGATCCAGGTGTGGCTGTTCCTCATCCCCCCTTGGCCTCATTGATTTGCACTTCCCACCCCTTGCCCAGCCTGGCCAGAGGGAATCCCCAGCTGCCAGGACTACAGGGCCAGGGCCCAGGTCTGCAGCCCCCTGCAGCACTCCTTGAACCCCAACTGCTGCCCGTAAGTGGTGACAACCTGGCTTTAGGTGTGTGGAGCCTGGCCCATGGGCAGCTCTGGCCCATGGGGAGGGGAGGTATGCAGGCTGGCTGCTGTGGGCTTGGGCTCCTTGCCCTGCTGTCCTTCCCAGGGCCTCTGCAGCCCAATAGACTGGACTGGACTTGGTGCAGCAGGGCAGAGCAGGGCGAGGTGGGGAAGCTAGTTGCCACTGCCTTGGAGAGGTACCCCCTGCCTGCCTGGCAGCAGTGGGGGTGATGATTCAGGCTTGTGCTCCCTGCTGCTGCCATAGGCATGGGGTACCTCGCTATGGCAGTACAGGGATTGCAGCAGCAGCACTGAGCTTCGCTGCCTGGTCCTGCTCTGCTCTGCCCACTGCGATGCAGAGGCCCTGGGGCAGGACAGCAGGGTGGGGAGCCTGAGCCCTACAGCAGCCAGCCTTCCTTCCCTGATCTGGGGGGCACGTGCCCTCCCAGGAGTGTGCTCAGCAGTGGGGAGCCAGTCCTCCCCCACCCCCTGGATGAGCCACATGGCCCCATCCCATTTCCTAGCCAGGCCCTGCAGCCATGCAGTCCAGCCCCATGCACTGCTCAGGCTGGGCAGCAGCCCCAGCCCTGCCCAACTCCCTCCCTCCTTTGTTATGGGGGCCTCAATTCCCAGCCCCCCACACACGCACACACACACCAGTGGGGCGCTGTTCTCCAGGCTGCCTGAAGGCCATGTGCATGTGTACATGCACGTAGCGCCCCCTATCTAACTGCAGCCTCTTGCATGCTGGAACTCTGCCAGCCTGCAAGGGGAAACCTGCCTTAACCTGTATTTTTCTCCATTTAAAGGAGAAAATCTGGGCTTTACCAGGTTTTTCCATCACAAATGGAAAACCTGGTTCCCTGGTCATGAGCATGGCAGGGTGAGGGGGAAATATGTTTAGTTTTGCATCCAGCTGTGCATGCAATTGCATTTTGATTTTGTAACAGAAGGAGATTAAAGCTGGTGACTTAATGGAGCCACTGTTCAAGGATGGCTAAAAATCTTGAAAGCATAATCCTCTTTCTGTTTCCACAGAACAGCGCCAAAGTGGCAGTACTTGGAGCTTCTGGAGGGATTGGCCAGCCACTTTCCCTTCTACTGAAGAATAGCCCCTTGGTGCACAACCTCAACCTATACGATATTGCTCACACTCCTGGTGTTGCAGCTGACCTCAGCCACATTGAGACTAGAGCCAATGTCAGAGGTACTGCAAGTCATTTTAAATTATAGAGATGTGTTCAGAAAGGTTTTACATGTCCTGTGTAGGATACATACCACTTCATATAAAGTAGGGCACTACTTGTTCTTCATGACAGACTACTCTTTGGCTATGCATACCTCACTGAAAATTTCTGTCTATGGCTCTAATGCAGGGGTGCTTAGCCTTCAGCCTGTGGGCCAGATCTGGCCTGTGATGCCATGTCCTCAGGCCTGTGGGGCTCCCCACAGGTCCAGAAACTTGGCAGCAGGGAAATGGTAGGACTGTTCTTCTGCTACCGTATCTCCGGACCTGCAAAGAACCCTGGGCTATGCGCACTGGATCTGGTGGCCAATCTCAGCTCACAGGGTTGGATGGGGGTAACAGCTGGGCCCAGGGCCCAATCCCTATGTGAAGGGCTGGGATGGGGTGGCACTGGGCCCTTGGGACCCAATCCTGGCATGTAGGGGGCAGTGCCAGGACCTCAGGGCCCAATCCTGGCATGCAGGGTAGGGAGAAGGTGGTGTCAGGGCTTGATTAGGCCCATAGATGGGCTCCACACCACTCATCAGGCCTGTGAGGCCAAATGGTTGACCATCACTGCTCTACTGTGAATGCTCTCTTTGGTCACGAAGGTTGATTCAATAAAAATTGAAAAGCTTGAGCATAGGTCTTTGCTATCAGTGTATTATGAACCTTGATAAACTCAGCGTCATATGAAGAGTAGTTAATATAATAACTCTTTAAAACTGCCTGCATGGATTCATGCTCTGATTGCATCTCTAAAGGGCATTAATAATAGAAAATTCTCAGTGAAACTTTAGAATTCCTTTAAGATATACTTGCTTTTCTAGCTTGCGTTTTATTTATAGGGACTTAAAAAGAAAGAAAGGGTTATCGATTACTTCTGTAGGAGGTATAACTTGTGTTGATTCATAGGCTGTAATTGCAAACTGTTTCTTTTCAGGACAGAGGTACTTAGGGACTGTAGGAGGGAGTTAAACCTACCATTCTTGTTTCAAAAGGGTGAAGTTAATATTAGTCAAGAATTCCATCCAGGGTACATAATTTGCTATTTGTTTGGCTGTTCATAATTTGTTACTAATAGATTACGGCTAAATTTAAAGTCAAGATTAAGGTCCATTAATATAGTATCCTACTTTAGATCATATTTGGACAGCTACTTAATAATAAGTTGTAAAAAGAGTAAAACCTGTAGCGATTTCATTGCAGGCTTCCTGGGTCCTGAGCAGTTGCCAGACTGTCTGAAGGGCTGTGAAGTTGCAGTTATTCCTGCAGGAGTCCCTAGGAAACCAGGTATGCTCTTCTTTTTGTATTAAGTATTATTATTTAGATTAACATTTGGATTATTGTGAATAAGGCATCAAAACACATTATTTCTCTGTTTAAATCTTGAATACCCTCGGTACATGGCTTTGTGCTTGAGACACTGAACAGACTTGGGTGATCTGGCTTCTGTAACTGGTTGTAATACCATTCCTGTCTAATACTAGATGCATCAATTAATCCTTGTCTGAGTTCCTCTTCTCTGATGGATATACTTTCCTGCCTTGCATGGCTGTATTTAAGGAAGCTACTACAATGAGGGGCCTGGGCTAGATTTAGCCTTTTTTTTAAAAAACTAACCTGCATATGCTTTGTGCATAAAGTAGGACTTATAGTTGTTCCAGGAGCAACACTTCATTTCTATCCTGCTGGTAATTGGAACAAGGGACAAATCATGGGGAGTATTTAAAAAACAAAACAAATAAAAAATCCCCAATAATGTAGTACTGACACTTATTTTCTATCTCCTTCTCTAAGGCTCTTTAGCTGTACAAATACTTACAAAGGTTTCTAACACCCCTGTGATGTACATTATGACCTTTACAAATAAGTAAAAGTTGCTTGCTTTTTCCATAAGGTCATATGGTCTACAGTCAAGTAGGAAATAAAACCCAGAGCCCCGGACTCTAAATCTTATTGTAAACCTAATCAAAGAACATACTTAGGAGTGTGGAAGAGGGATGTTTCACACTGGTACAAGTATCAGCCTGTTTCATAGCTGGTAGGTAATAATAAACAGACACTGCAGAGATGCAGGCCATTTTAGTACCTGAATAGATAAATGGGGTAAAACATGTAGTAGGGGCAAATACTTGCTCCTTTTAGTGGTATTTGAGCATATTTCAATCCCCAAGTGGTATTTGTCCAGATTGATGTAGTACTAGTAGTACATTTAGGCTGTTTGGACTTCCCTGGGTTATGACAGGAGGACCTTGCTTTCTCAGGAAGGTAATTAAGCCCTTTTTACTCATATGAAGCTTAACCCTTTCATAATCAAGTTTACTGTTAATGGAGCAACGTGGACCCTTACCACTGATGGTCCTGACTTGGCTCCTCTCAAATGAAGAAGCCTGGAGTTATAATCAATATGCTACTTCCTCCAGACAGTAGATTGCTTTTGACTGGGTCCTCTGCTAAGTAATTGACAGTCCTTGGCTAATAGCTAGTAAAAAATAATTATTATTTTGACTTTCAGGTATGACCCGTGATGACCTGTTCAATACCAATGCCAGCATTGTTGCTAATTTGACAGCTGCCTGTGCAAAACACTGTCCAGAAGCCATCATCTGTATTATTTCTAATCCAGTGAGTATGAATATCCTGGAGGCCCTGAACATATAGTGTTAAAACAGTGTTTCTCAACCTGTGGTACACACCCCTGGGGATATGCAAGACACAGGAAGGGGGTACGTGGGTGCCATGTTTTGAGTTTGGTCTGTTCTCCCGCTCGGCGGGTTGGAAGCATCTTTGCTTGTTTGGGCCGGAAGTTCTGGCTGCTGCTGCGTCCAATGTGCTGGGGCTTCCACTCCCTGGCGTCAGTGTACCAGGGGACAGGGAGG